GTTTTGGGGTAGGTTTAGGAGGGTTAGGTTTAGGTTTAAGGGTTAATTTTAGGTTTAGAGTTTACAGCGTGCTTCTGTCTCCGCGCTGTTGTCACCCTGTTGATGACGTCAGCGACGCGGTTTAATCGGGCGCGGCTTAGTCGAGCGCGGTTTTTACGGGTCACGCTGTTCATCATGCACTGGTGTGCACATGCGCCCTGGCCACCAGGTTTTCCGGTTTCTGGCACGCATGCATGTGAGAAGACCAGCTGGCCAGTGCGCATGGACATGCTAGAAACTGGAAGACAATCTTCCTGGCAGACACATGTGGAACCAGGCAGCTGCTATCCGGTTTCTGGCACATGTGTGCGGCTTTTCGGTGCTGAATAGGTTTGCCAGGACTGGTCTAAGGTAACTGAGTCTAGCTCATTTTTCTGTCCAAAATGATATGCGTAATCTCACCTTCAGATGTGCAACGACGTCAAGAATAAACACGTTTGCTTGGGTTAGATACGTAACCACATACAGATGTGAAGTCTCTGTCACCAGTTTTGCAATGTGAGAAATGATGCCCTGCGTAATTTGTTACATTCCCTGCTTCAAGTGGTTCAATTAGATCTGTTCAATCCTTTTTTTCCCCAGATTATTGCTCCCCCTGAGCGCAAGTATTCGGTCTGGATTGGAGGATCTATTCTCGCTTCTCTTTCCACATTCCAACAGATGTGGATCAGCAAACCAGAGTACGACGAAGCTGGCCCATCCATTGTTCACCGCAAATGCTTCTGAGCTGCTTCTCCTTCTGTGGAAAAATACTCTCTTAATTAGCCTACCCCAAGTACCTTCCTTAAAATTAGCTTGGGTTCCCAATAAGATGTATTTGAGGTTTTTAGGGGGCAGAGGAGGAAAGAATTGTAAACATGCTTTTCGGGTGCTTTGGATTTTTATTAATAAACCTCAACTTTTTCATACTCTACTTGGAGTAAATAGTATTCCTTCTCCTCTGGAAAAAGCGTGAGACATGGCAGATCAACGTTATACTAGTCAATATTTGCATTAAAGTTCTATGGATAGTGGAAAACGCGAACCTTGGTGATTAAAGGAAGTTTGTGCTAATTTTAATCATCCACTGGAGAACACACAAAGATAGTAGCTATATTTGGACACACTATGCAAAAGTAGAATTGTTTGCCACTCCTCCCTAAATCCTCGGGTTATCATCTAGTTTTCAGTTCTCCATGCCCTCTCCATACCCGTGACCCGTCAAAACCGCGCTCGACTAACCCGCGCCCGACTCACCCGCGTCGCCGATGTCATCAACAGAGCGACAACAGCCAGCGCGGAGAAAGAAGGGCGCTTTAAATAGCCCTTTGAAACCAAGCCGATTCAACTTAAGGTAAGGGTTA